AATTACAATGTATTTTGAAGATTAAGACGGCGATTAAAATTATATATTTTAATATATAATATATTATATAATATGAATATATGTTTTGATAAGAGGAAATGACACGACTTGATGATGATAGCACAGCAATAGAATTTTAGCAAACAAAAACTTATTTCAGCAATAAATAATGATTTTTAAATATTTATGATAAAATTTTATATTTGGTTTTCAATTAGATTTATTAATTGAATATTATTATAATATTATGAATATTAAACACAAAATCATATCTTTAATAAAATTATCTATCTTATTTTATCATAAAAATATTACATTCAAGTGTTTTCTTCCTGTTTTTTGTCATGTTTCTTCCACTTAGAAGGTCTTGCTTCTGGATATTTCTCAGTTAAAAAACTGCAAATCTCATCATATTCGGCCCTTAATTTAATTATAACTTCATCTTGATTTCTATGGCGTTCTTGTTTACGCAAATGAACTAACCATGAAGGCAATTTCGTATAAAATGGTTTAAGAGATTTTTTTCTTAAAGGAATTCTTCCATTCATTATATATTGTTTGAAATTTAATATTTCATTTGGTAGAATTTCTGTAGAATCACGAACTACTGGAGGCGAAGCAAGAACTGTAGGAAAATAATTATTTTCCATTCTCATTTCAACTAAATGCAATCCTTTTTCCTTTACTATTTGGTCGTATGTTTTCTAGAATTTATATAATATAAAATAATATTATGTTGCAGAATTTTTATGACATATAATTCATTTCAGGTCAAAAAATTTTAATTTTTGTCACTAATTATAAATTATTAACATACCTGTTGCAATAAACCAATAAAGAAAGCTTTTACAATATAAGCAACATTTTTAGATCCTTCAATTTTAGCATACAAATCTGTAATACCAAGTGCTTCACAACATGTTCTAATAACTCGATGACATTTGAGTCCATAACCTTTAGGTTTTTGTTCTACATATATTTTTGTACGTCCAAATTGTGTAAAAAAATCATGGAGTACTAAAAAAAAATATATTTTATAATTATTTAAAGTTTTTGAATCAATAATATACACATATATAATACACATATATAATAAAAAATTATCTACCTGTATGATCATTATATCTTTCAATATATATTAATCTTTGAGCTGCTTTATTCTTAGCTGCAATTATGGTTGATTTTAATTCATTTCCATTTAGCATTATAAAACCAGCTAAGCCTTTCTTATTTCCAGTAATAACAAGTATACGGCAACGTTTTGCACGACCCATGTTACTTGTCATAATGGAGAAAAACTTGCTATATAAAATCCAAGATTCAAATCCTTCAAACACATCTGAAATGATACAAATGTAATGTCATATATTGTTATTAACGTATATATATATATATATATATATATATATACTAAATAATTTTTTATAACAAACCATCATTAACAGGATCAGGTGGTCCGATTTTTCTTCCACCTAACAAACCTCCACTCCATCCATGTTGTAAAAGATGAATTTTGTTTCGTTTTGGTTGTATCATATTTTTTGTTTCTTGTGCATTAAAATAACTTAATTTTTCGTTTTCTGTAAAAGGTCTTTGTTGTACCGTAATATCACCATGTATAACAGTAGTATTTAATCCTGGAAATATCATAGGTATTTTTCCAAAGCCAATTTTTTGATTTTTGTTTAGATCTTTCATTTTTCCAGCATTTCTTCCTCTTCCTCTTCTTTTGCCAGCGTTACTGACACTTATGACAGATTTCCATAATTCAGAAGCTCGTCCTAATGAGCAATATATCAAAGATTATTTAAAAATTTTCTTAAAATTCAATAAATATTTTTTCAAACAAAGAAAACAAAATTTACATACTTTTATTTAAAAAACTGGTATTTCTTATACTGTTTAATAATACAGTTTGTGATAACAATAAATTACCAGAGATAGCTGAAAATGATTTATACTTATAATTTATTTATTGATTATATAATAATATAAAAATTTAATCTAATTTAAATAAAATCAAAAATAAAGAAGAAACAAAGCTATATAAGAAGAGAAAAATTTTTTTTAGGTTATATAAGCAAAACGTATAATCATGAATAATTTATATAGTTTTATGAAAAGTATATTTGGAAAATATTTTGTAGAAACTACCATTATTGGTTACATTGATATTTTTTATACAATTTGTAACTGTTTTACAAACACGAAACAATCCACTTATCATTTTAACCAAACAAATGTACTTATAAAATATAGAAATTTTGAGCGTGATATTTTGTTCAAAAAGAAAACAACAGATGTCACCTAACGCTATAAATCGAAACAATATTTTTTTCATTTAGTAGCAGAAAAAGAATTTTATGATTAAAAAAAACGAATAGTTTTCTTTTTAAATATTATTTATTATTTCTATTTTAAATATTCACAATTAAAAAATTCTATAATAATTATTTATATATAGTTTTTGATTTCTCAATCAATCAAAATTATTATAATAAATCAAAATTTTGAACTAAATATTAGAATTGTAAAAACGAGATACGCTTGCATTCAAAAACCCTAATATTCAATTCATTTAAATATGAAAACTGATTATTGTTTTACGTTTCGCAAAACGACAAATAAAAACAAATAAATGTAATCGATCGAAAATGACAATAAATGGAACACGCAGGTAGCGACACATAGCATGGTCGATATCGAACGTAGTATCGTGACATGAATGGGTTACAGTTACGTACCACTGTTCGCGATATGGTTGGTCGGTAAAGTCGTGATAACTGGCCAAAGAAGAGTGAAATGGGTAGGGAGCGGCGAAATTTTTGCAAGGACAAAGCGAAACGCGAAGGAAAGGTGAAACAAAGATAGACGGGTAAATCGAGAAAGAGAAATAGAAAGGGAAGCGAGAAAGGTGGGCTGTCCCGAGGCCGGTGGCCATGAGACGCCGCTAGATTAGGGAGCCGAGGTGGTTTCTGGCAGGGAATCGGGGGATCACCGCGCGATAGGCGGACACGTAACGGAAGAGCCGAAGCTTTTCACCAACGGCGTGGCGGCGACCACCGCGGTGCAACCCCGAACAAGCGTTCAACCATTCGGAAGGTGATCCAATGGAAGTGCGAGAGCGCGCCGATTGGCGGATCTCGTCCAATGAGAGGATGGTTAGGGTAGTCGGGTTTGGCTCGGAGGTCGGTTAGGTAGCCCCGCGAACCCCCCTAGAGGCCGGCGAGTGGGAGCCCTTCTCTCGCACGCAAAAGGGGACATCTCATCACGACTCTTGGTAGCAGGCACTTCTCCGTAGTGGGCACTCCGCTCATGGGGTCGTCGTACGGGTTCTCCGCGAGAGGCTGTGGGGCCCGAGCCCGGACGAACGAACAAACGAACGCCCGAACGAACGAACGAACGAGCGCGACCGGCCGAGCCGCTGGTCGAGTGGGTCTAAGCGGCCGTGAGGACCTCTCCAGGAGTACCCGACAGTCCTCTTCATTCATTCATCCATCCATCCATCCATCCATCCATCCATCCATCTATCCAGCCAGCGAGCGAGCCAGCGAGCGAGCCAGCTAGCAAGCAAGCCAGCAAACCATCCATCCATAGACGCTCTCTCCTCTCCTACGGAGAGAGAGTGTATCCTCGACGAAGGTGGAGGCGAAACGCGTAGAGTGGTACATCTACCATCGTCTCTCTATCGGCAGAGTCCAAGGACTCGAAGACCCCCCGGGTGATTTCAGTCGGCCGCCGGCCGGCTCTGGCCGGCCACTACTTCTCGACCACGTGTGTGTCATCTTTCCGTTCGCCGAATCGTTTCGTATCGTTTCGCAACGAGTCGTGTCGTGTCGTGGCGTGGCTTCTCGGTGCCGTGACGTAATAACGGATCGTGTTGTGTCTACGTGTGCCTCAACCCCGGCCTCCTTCGTCCTACGAAAGACGAGCGGATCATCAGTCGTGTGCAACCGTGAAACCAGCCCTTCCTTCGAAGGAGGGGAGCTTCGTCCGGGGACACTGCTGCTAATTTTTATTAAGGTAGACGACGGTTCGCGACTGCTTACCTTAATCTCCTCGTAGCCCAATTTTTTCCAAAAATTTCAATTCGCGATTTTTCGACCGAGAGTCTTTGAGTCCTCGTCCCACATTCGCCACGTCGACAACCGATATTATTATCTCTGTTCGACCTGTTGAATAGATAGAACGAGATCGCGAGGATGACGCGCAGGTATCGCCGCTGGACGCGGCCAACGACGCTCGAGTTCCGTGTGCACCGATGCGATGGACGCGTCTCGGAAACTGCATCCAATCTCTTGATCTGTTAGTGAAAACCGTCCGTGAGATGCGCGTTATCAAGTTACCTTGACCATGAAACGACCATGCAACGCCTTTCAGTGATCGGTGCGTTCGACAGGATTATTCATCCAGGTGTACGATATCATTTATTCGACACTGATTAATGGAACGATTAAGTGTAACTGTGAATGAATTTAAAAACTGTGCTACGTGATGAGTCTTTGCCCACTCTTTCCTCCATTAGACGATAAATTTTTCCACCTTCGCCACTAAAAAACGAAAGAAATAAAAAAGAGACATGTGCAGTTAAAAAGAGAAAAAAACTAAAAGTACAATACATAGAGAATACAGTGTACATAAAGAAG